TCCTGACATTCCAAATCAGAACAATCGGCGAAATCGTAATCGAGTAGTTCCAGTTCGTAATCATCCACAAAGAATTCGGCATAGACCTGCCTATTTGAACGATTATGTTTAATTGAGTGTTTACAGTAATGCATGCTATTTCATAGGACTTTAAATCGTTCACAGACAGTGATGTTAATTGTTTAGTTTCTCTGAGGTTTCTTTGTGTTTATTGATAGTGTTTAATCATATATGTGCTTAACTAAAAGGGGGGAAAATATGTTGTGTCTAGGTTCGAACGTATGTGACGCCGAAACAGTATATACGCTTCTGGTTGCTTGCTTTGCACGAGGTCACATGACGTCATTCACTTTGTAGTAGGTCGGCGGGCTGACCGCCATTGTTGTAAGAATTTCATGTATAATAAATTTAAGTTTTAATCAACTATGCATCTTTATGGCCATCGCAAACACAACATTTTGTATTTTGTGATACAATTTTCGAGCCAGTATATGTATATGGTTGTGAAGCTAATGAAATCGAAAATGAGCAGGCTAATGCCACTGTCCTGGCAAAATTTCTCTCGCTGCAATTTCAAAAAATTGAAAAAACCTCTTTACATTCCTTTTAAAGGAAACACCATTCAAGTCAATAAGCATAGTTTTTGACAGCACTGTAAAAAGGAGAGAAGATGCCGAAGGTCTCTCTTTGCATAGCCTCTTTATCAACAAGCCGTATGTACGTTGTACTGCCATTAATTGTTTTTTGACATAAATAAGTCCTGTACCTATTATTTCATGAGTGTAAGCTCATTTACATCTAATTATATGTATATATGATGTTGTATATATTTTTATACGCCCACATGAAATGGGGGGCGTATATTACCATCACCGTTGACATGAGTGTTTGTTATCAACCAAGGATAAACCCTATTGAAAATCCGAAAAATCGAAAAATATTTAGTGTTAAGAGTGAAGAAGTTCCTAAAAACTTCTATGTAAAGCACTGGCCAAGGTCACAAATAAAGAGATAAATGTTCAATACAAGATAAGGTGAAGTTAGCATAGTTAGTATTAAGTTAAAAAAACAACCATGAGTAATCTAAATAAACAAAAGTCTATAATATGAAAGTTTTCTTGTTACCAGTTCTAAAAGAAAAGAGTATTTATAGGTTCTGAAAAGATAAACATCTATATATAAGGATTAGAATATATTATACTTAATGAGCTAGAAAATAGAGAGGGGGGTCAAGTATTATTGGATTCAATGGGATCGAGTCTACCACGGACCAGAAAATTACTAAGGTTTTTATTGCGCTTATAGGCAATTACAAGTCGTTTGGTATATACATTTGGAAATCTGTTCTGTAATTCACTGTAATACTGTTTGACGATGGATGAGGTTTTGGTAGCTGTATGATTAAAGGTGGCAACAAATGGAATCATTTGATTATCATGCTGGATGTTGGAGCCACTGTTTGGAGTTGGTCCATCCAGTAGCTTTCTCTCTGTAATCGTTTGGTTTTTGGTTTGATAAGATCAGAGTCAGGAATTGATTCAAAAGGCATGATAAGAAGGTCTTCAATGGAATGATCAGGTAAATTAAAATGATGAGAAATTGGTCTATTTTTGCTATGAATTATATCAAAGCGATGGCCGCTAAATCGAGTTCGCCACGCGTTCTGGGTTTCGCCGACGTATTTTTTGTCACATTTTTTACACGAAATTAGGTAAATGATATTTTTATCCGTACACTTGAGACGTTATTTAATTTAGTATGAGTTATTGCCTTTGTTCTTGAAAACGTGCTCAAGTTTTAGCTCGTAAACACTCTAGAAGGGACAATTCTTGACGGATTTTGACGAAACTTGGCATGAGTGTTTGTTATCATACAAGGATAAGCCCTTTTGAAAATCAGAAAAATCGAAAATTAATTAGTATGAGTTATTGCCCTTGCTATTGAAAACGCGTTCAATTTTAGCTCGTAAACACTCTAGAAGGCACATTTCTTGACAGATTTTGACGAAACATGGAGTGAGAGTTTGTAATCAACCAAGGATAAACCCTATCGAAAATCAGAAATCCATTTCTCTTATGAATAAAATATTGTTTACAAAAAAAAAAAATGTACGTTGTACCCTCTTGTGGTGACACACTTTAATTGGGACGTTGGCCAGAAAATAGGAATAGTGCACAAAATATCTGTGTCTTCAATAGACAAGAAGAAGTAATTAGACCGCCTCTTTTAAATGCCTTCAACTATGTTAAAAATGCCTTTATCATGCATACCTGAAATATCTTTAATCATTGCATACTTAAAACTATGTTAAAAATCCCACCTGTTATAATTGTGATATATAAAATGTATGTATAATGTTGTTATTGCAGTCAACTTAGAACAGGTACTTAAAAGTTTATAGCACCCTTAATGTGCCTTTATTGCAGTTCATGGTATTTTTAATGGGCAGAAATACTTGATCATGTATCCAAAATTTCATTCCTGAATATGCCTTAAGCACACTTTTCTATTCATAACAACCAGAAAACCTGTACATTATAATTTTGATTTTGAGATATTTTAGTAGAGATTATGTATGTGTTTTATATATTTTGTAACAAAGATTTAATTAAAATGTTAAATTCTTAGTGTATTCTTTCATATTTTGATAAGACAGGATATTGCTAATAATAGAGTTGCCAAGGAGAGGGGGGATTGAATGAAAATCCAAAGTCTATATACTCTCCAACAAAAAGGGTACTGTGAAAGTTTATAATGCCAGAATTTGGTGGCTTTTGAAATTCTAATGTGTAGATATTGGCTTGATCAGTAATAGTGTTCACAGCTCACCCTCGAAATTTGAGCCTTCAAATCCATGGGTTTTCAGAATTATCTGCGTTTGAATGTTAAATTTCAAAATACTCTGTGATAAATAGAAAAGACATATATCTAGAAAAATGATTAAAATTCCTAGTTTTTTTTAAGTATTTTTAAAGGAATTATTTCTAGTACTTCTGAAGACTATTTACATATATTCAAGACTAAAATCTACACTCCAAAATGCTTTATCTGTCCCTTTAAAGTCAACACTTCCAAGCGTCAGATTTCAATTATGAAAAGTGACACAGTTGGCTGAAATTGTGCTCGTCTAGAAAAGCAAATAACTGTAAGGCTGAATCCCTTTATGAATAATATATACATTGAATGTATGAAGATGAAGTTTAATGCATGTTAATAAAATATACAGCGTGTTTTATGGTATGGTATGACTCTCATTTCATCTGCTTTTTCTCTTCTATAGTCCCATAAATAATGATCAACAAGAATAGCATTCATTTCAACACCTTTAGTTTCTGAGTCAGCAGTCAATAATTTTCTTGTTTCTTCAACAATCAACTGAAATTTAAAAGATAGCTTGCCAGGCAAGGTAACATACGCCCACTGGCAGCTGTCAGAAATGATTAAACAGTCTTTAGTGACTACAGGGTTGCACAATATAGCCAATAGAGTGAAACGTCAAGTCAGATACGATATTTCGGTGAAAAATTATCCGATCATCACGAAAATCAATAGGGATCATCTTCATAACGACATAGACATACAAAATAAAAATCAAAAGAATCTGTAAAAAATTGTAGCCTGTAGAGTGAGCACGAGTTGCACAATATAGCTAATAGAGTAAAACGTCAGGTCAGACACGATATTTCGGTGAAAAATTATCCGATCATCATGAAAATCGATAGATCATCATGAAAATCTATAGGGATCATCTTCATAACGACATAGACATGCAAAATAAAAATCAAAAGAATCTGTAAAGAATTGTAGCCTGTAGAGTGAGCTTGAGTTGCACAATATAGCTAATAGAGAAAAACGTCAAGTCAGACACGATATTTCGGTGAAAAATTATCCGATCATCACTAAAATCAATAGGGATCATCTTCATAATGACATTGACACACAAAATAAAAATCAAAAGAATCTGTAAAAAATTGTAGCCTGTAGAGTGAGCTTGAGTTGCACAATATAGCTAATAGAGAAAAACGTCAAGTCAGACACGATATTTCTGTGAAAAATTATCCGATCATCACGAAAATCAATAGGGATCATCTTCATAATGACATTGACACACAAAATAAAAATCAAAAGAATCTGTAAAAAATTGTAGCCTGTAGAGTGAGCACGAGTTGCACAATATAGCTAATAGAGTAAAACGTCAGGTCAGACACGATATTTCGGTGAAAAATTATCCGATCATCATGAAAATCAATAGGGATCATCTTCATAACAACATTGACATACAAAATAAAAATCAAAAGAATCCATAAAGAACTGTAGTCTGTAGAGTGAGCACGAGCCAAATGTGAACGGACCGACGGGGTGATTACAATATACGCCCATCTTACGTGTGGGTGTATAAAAAGTACACAAGGTAACAAAATGGTCATAAAAAGCAATGCTGGTTTAAAAAATTTGTCATGGGAAACACTTGTTCCATTTTGTAAAAGCACCCTAGTCCTACCCTGTATCTGTACCTGAGTCTTGCCCTTCAGCCACACCTTTATCCCCACAGTTTCTCCCTGTAAAAGATCTTACCTCTGTTGCCCAAATACTACAACCTCTAATTTCCGTCTCTCTTCGATCCCCATTAGCTAATTTTTCATCTGCAAGAAAAAAACAAAATTTATAGGGGTTAAAATAAGTAGTGGTGTTCTAATGACTTTGAAAAATAGCAGTCCATAATTAATTCATAATTTAGCTAAATTAGTAGAGAATTACCAGCAGAATTCCAATGAGTGACCGATCAAGAAAGGTCAAAAAGTTTTTTTTTTTTATCCAGACAAGTACGTACATGAACATTTATGATTGGTCAAAACTCTTATGATATGATAAGAATATATGATAATTCATTAGAAACAATAATTAATCAAATAGTTTGTCACTAAAAAATAAGGAAATCTCCATCTTTAAAATATTACCCTTCCCAACACTTCAAGTGATTACAGAAGATCTGAAATTTTAATGTGAAAACTGCAACAAACAGCAGAAATTGAAACATATCGAGCTAACTTCAATCAATCAGCCATCATTGGAATATTAAACTTACTCTTCTTTAAAGTTTCCATTAAGTTGTCTGAATATTTCATAGCGCCCATATACACCAAACATTGTGGTATTCTATAATCAGAGAATCATCCATTTCAAACA